CGAGGCCTTTGGATCTTTGTAGATGTAGGCGTCCTGCTTCTCAACCGCGACCTCTTGAATCTCCAAAACCTGAAACACCTTATCTTTTTGAATTCTTGGCAATTTCGAACCGAACACAGAGGGCAGAGGCCGACCGTTGTGGTGGATAGGTTGGTCTCGACCCAAGGGCCCTACAGGACCATCCAAGGTATCCGTGTAGGTTGATTTAGTTTTGGTTTTTTTGATGCGTTTTTGTTTTTCTGTTGATCACTGCTTCGAGTTGGACTATTGCGCTTCCCTCCATTCGTTTGGGTCCGTTTATTTTTTATTGATTCATTTTTTCTTGATACCCTGTTTTATTTTTGTTTTTTGATGCATTTTTAATTTTATTTTTAATCCCTTGCCCCTCCCTTGGGGCCATCGAAGAGCACAGTGTTTATGCTGAGCACGTTCCAATGTCATGAAGATCAGTGCACCACCCAGTTCGGGGCTGGCTGACGTACTGACGTCACTCTGCCGGTCTTCGTAAGCAAGGAAGGGCCTGCACGCGGAGTCTGTAATTTGTCGCCAGGGCTCGCCGCGTTCGGGCCACTCTGTCACATTCCTCCACAGGAGAAAATCCTGCCCGCCAAGCATCGCATGCACCTTCTCCCGGCGTATGGAGCTCTCTGGCGTATGGAGCTTGAGAAACTGCTGCGGCTCGCCGGTGATTGAGCGGATCGTATTTGAAATCTTTGAGAGGGCCTCTCATGCATGCCTAAAGCGCTTGATTTTGACAAATTCTCTGTGGAAGCGCCATCGTATTGATGGTGCTGGTTTGAGCATGGCAGAACCTTTTTGCGAGGCTTGATGGACCTGAGAAGACTGCGCCTGTCACTGCATCACGGCTGCCTACCCCAGCAAGCCTAGAGCGTCGCCGGTATCCTCCATTTGCTCCCCTCATCTGCCAGATGAACATGCAGACGGGCTGGACAAGCTGCTGATGACCGTACGGGGGGGTGGTTGGTCAACCCTCCCGAAATGACATGAAATCTTAATTTTCTCAAGCTTCACCTTTTCGTATCGTGTCATTTTTGCGCGGCGACTGCCAATCATTCTTGCCCTCTTCACGTATCCCAGCCCTCTCAATCTGCCTGATCGACCTTCCTCTCAATGCCCTGGCACGCTGCGATGATGCTAAACGCTCTGAAATGCAGAGTGGGGATAGGGTTCCAACCTAAACTCTGAAAAACATTTGGCAGGTCAGGGCGGACGCTGGGAGAATTTCATCAACTGAAGCCCGTGCTGTTTCAGAGGCAGGGATGGCTGCTCAAGGCTGGGCTGCACTGACTTTTCGTTTTGCTGAGTCCAGGAGATTGGGCAAGAGATGAGTTTGGAAATGCAAGAGGTTGCAGAAGCTATTGGGAGCATATCTTCTGAGCATCGGGCGCTTCAGAAGGACCTGTCGCATGGTTGCGTTTGCTCGCGCATGAAAGGCCACTGGTTTACGTTGAAAGGAGGCGATGTTGGAGATGCGAAGTCATCACCGCGCACTGTCACGGGAGCTTGCGGCTTTAGAACGGCGGGTTTCAGCAGAAGCACGAAAGAGAGAGTCTGACACATTGCCAGAACCTTGGACAAAACTGGTTTGGGGCACTGAGGGGAGGGTACCGCAACTTAGGCAAATGGTGAGCGCAGAGGAGCATTTCGCGGAGCAGGCTTCTGAGGTTGCAGAACTTGCGGTTGCAGGCCAAACCAGCCTTGCTTGAACTTGTGCGTGCTGCGCTGATTCCTTTTGGGAAGGGGCATCCCAAACAATCCCAAACATCATATCATCCATAAGCAAAAATCAATAATCAAGAAGAAACTACACAGGCATAGACCCCAGATAGCAACTATATATATATGTATATATATAGCTCTAGATCCTAAAACAGAAGCACCTGAGACAAATAATATCAAGAATTCAAACTCAAACAGCATATAATTCACACAAACTATCCAGAGAAGTGGGGAGAGAAGTAAGGAGACAAGGGAGCAGCGGCAAACACAGCGCCGATCACACAGGGAGACAAGTGGTGAAACATGGAAGGAGACAAGTGGGAGACGAGGGGACAAAACGCCGACCAGCCACCCAGTCATTGAGAACGAGAAGTATGAACCCCTATAATCATCTATCATCTATATTTCATCATTCTGCCGTCCCTTTCAATGTTGCTTTGTTCCGTGATCCCAGACGGCTGAAAGCTGAGACGATGCCCGCCCTTGTCAACAGTTCTTCTTCGGGCTTTGCGGCGTCCGCGGTCTCAGCACAAACCCAACCCAAGTGGCAAGGCCAACCTGGTCTTCGCAGCTAGGAAACATGCACATAAGGAGAGAAAAGGGGAGACAAGTAGGGAGCCCAGGCAGCAGCGGAAGCAAAACGCAGATCACACAGGCAGACAAGTGGGGAGACAAGCGGGAGACGTCATGTAACGAGACAAGTGGGGAGGCATGTGCGGAGACGCAAACACAACGCCGATCACAGGCAGACAAGTGGGGAGACAAGTGAGGAGACATGTGCAAAGCCACCAAAACAAATTAGGGGGCGAACCAACTCAACGACAACAGAGCGGCCGTTTGTATAGAACAACCAAACGTAATAACGTATCAAGACTCAGAGGCCCAAAGTGCTGCAACTACAAGAAACAACCAATTGGGAAAACCAATTCAAAAAAACCTGATAGAACCCACGAACCCGAATGCAGTCACTTTGTATAGAAGAGTAGCACTCAAAGCGTTCTTGTTTTCGGAGATGACTCGCAGAGTCATCAACTAAAGCAGCGCCAGCACCTCCCCAGCCGCAGCACCTGACGCACTTTTGCTTCACACTTTTGCTGGACAGTCTTTGCTACACACTCTTTCTTGACGCTTTTTGCTAGACATTCTTACTTTACACTCCCGTTTGCCACTGACACTCTCTTGACACTTTTCGCTAGACACTCTTGCTTGACACTCTTCCTAGACACTCTTTCTTGACACTCTTGGCTAGACACTCTTGCTTGACACTCTTGCTGGGAACTCTTTGCTAGACACTCTTGCTGGACACTCTTGCCAGGACACTCTGCTAGACACTCTTGCTGGACAATCTTGAAATGACATTCTGCTAGACACTCTTGCTTGACACTCTTGCTGGGCACTCATTGCTAGACACTCTTGCTGGACACTCTTGCCAGGACACTCTGCTGGACACTCTTGCTGGACAATCTTGAAATGACATTCTGCTAGACACTCTTGCTAGACATTTTTGCTTGACACTCTTGGTGGACACTCTTTCCTAGACACTCTTTATGGACACTCTTTCTTGACACTCTTGCTGGACACTCTTGCTTGACACTCTTGCTGGACAGTCTTGCTTGGTACTTCTGCTGGGCACTCTTTGCTGGACACTCTGGACACGACACTCTTGCTAGACACTCTTTCTTGACACACTTTGCTAGACAATCTTTCTTGACACTTTCTCTTGGCACTCTTGCTGGGCACTCTTGCTTGACACTCTTGCTTGACACTTTTGCTGGATACTTTTACAGGACACTCTTGCTTGACATTTTTGCTTGACACTCTTGCTGGACACTCTTGCTTGACACTCTTGAAAACAAGCATTTTTCACGAGACTTTCACCAGAAGCGACAATCAGAGCTTCCACGAGACTTTCTCTTGCTAAACAGTCTTGCTTGAAACTCTTTCTTGACACTCTTTGCTAGACAATCTTTCTTGACACTTGTTCTCGACACTCTTGCTTGACACTCTTGCTGGATACTCTTGCTTCACACTCTTGCTGGACACTCTTGACACGACACTCTTGCTTGACACTCTTTCTTGACACTCTTTGCTAGACAATCTTTCTTGACACTTTCTCTTGACACTCTTGCTTGACACTCTTGCTTGACACTCTTGCTGGACACTCTTGCTTGACACTCTGCTAGACACTCTTGCTTGACACTCTCTCTGGACACTCTTTGCTAGACAATCTTTCTTGACACTCTTTTTTGACACTCTTGCCTGACACTCTTTGCGGGACACTCTTGCTGGACACTCTTTGCTAGACATTCTTGCTGGACACTCTTGCTTGACACTCTTTCTTGGCACTCTTTGCTAGACACTCTATCTTGACCCTCTTTGCTAGACACTGTTGCTTGACACTCTTGCTTGACACGTTTGCTGGGCACTCTTTGCTAGACACTCTTGCTTGACACGTTTGCTGGGCACTCTTGCTGGACACTCTTGCTGGACATTCTTGCTAGACACTCTTGCTTGACACTCTTTCTTGACACTCTTTGCTAGACACTCTTCCTTGACACTCTTTGCTAGACACTCTATCTTGACACTCTTGCTTGACACGTTTGCTGGACACTCTTGCTGGACACTCTTTGCTAGACATTCTTGCTGGACACTCTTGCGTGACACTCTTTCTTGACACTCTTTGCTTGACGCTCTGCGTTTCGTACGAGACTTCCTCCAAAAGTCACGCGTCAAGTCTCCAAAACGAGCGTTTCGTACGAGACTTCCTCCAAAAGTCACACTTCAAGTCTCCAAAACGAGCGTTTCGTACGAGACTTCCGACTTCCTCCAAAAGTCACACGTCATGGCTCCAAAACGAGCGTTTCGTACGAGACTTCCTCAAAAACTCACATGTCAAAGTCTGCGCGCGTTTCGTACGAGACTTCCTCCCAAAGTCAAGCGGAAACACCCATCGGAGCACACCCATCGCGCAGCCCTGCCAAGCAGTTTCGCGATTCCAGCTCCTCCAAACAACGCCCGCTCGCACGCCAATCCCAATGTCACAGCGACATTCACCTCTACCACAACTCACAACCTCACGATTCCCTGCGCCTGCCACAAATCTTTCCGCGTCCACACGTCTAACGCGCACAAAGTCCTGCGCCTGCCACGAAATGTCGCCTCCGTCACACATCGCAACCTCACGATTCCCCGCGCCTGCCACGAAATCGCACGTCCACACCTCAAAACCCGCACAAAGTACTGCGCCTGCCACGAAAAGTGACAATATCATCTCATGTGAGCTTCAACAAAATTTGCACCACACCACACTTTTGGAATGATTTCGGCCCGTTCTGAGCACACTCCCATCCACCAAAATCACCATTTCAGCTGAGACTTGTCACGAAAACAGCGCTTCGATGCCATACCCTGAAACGCAAACCCCAGTGGCACGGCCACATCCAACACCCCAAAAACACGACTCTCCAAACGCTAATCCCAATGGAATACCGACACAAACGTGTCACTTTCACGAAACCCTGCGCCTGTGCAGCGAAATGCATCACGTTTCTTGCGCGACATGTAATAGCGGGGCAAACTGACACGTGACACATCCATGAAAAGTCACTTGCAAAAGCTTCCCCCAATGGCAGGGCCAGAGAGACATCATTTGGACGATTGCAAACGGTTGCGGACGGTTGTGGACGGTTGCGAACTCGAAAACAACGTCGGGCAAACACAGCTCTACCCTCAGACTCCCAAGTTAAACGAGAACCCTGCGCTACGCATTCGGGAAAAAACGCGTGCACTTGGCATGCCTTTGTTTCAGCGGCACAGTTCTTTGTGCTTTCTACAGGTGCACCCGGCGACGTTCAATGTTTGCTGTGGCTGTATGTCGCGCGTGCGAAGTACTGCGTGTTACGTGACGTTGTGGTCCGAAACTCTTCGGGCTCCCTGTCTCGCTTGGCGAGATGATGGGTCCCGCTTTGCACCGGGCACGGCTCCTTGTGACATCTGCGCGCTTGCTCTTGGCGAGTGACCAACGCACAATCACATACATACCACCTCCGGCAGCCTGCAAGATCCGCGACCATGCCTCGGCCGGCTGTCAGAGACTACGCCTTTCAGGTCTTGTTCACCTCATCAGGAAATACCTGAAGCCATCGAACGAGCGCTTGTTCACTTGGCTCAACTTTAACCCCATAAGAGGCACCCACCAAAGGAGTGTGACCGAGTAGTGCGCGGCAATATCAAACCAGGGAGCGCCGATACGGCTATTTGTGTGTGTGGCGCCCCCTGTCTCAAAGGAGAACGACCACAACCATCCAGAGTTGTATTCTCTCCTGAATGGTAACCTTTTGACACTGTACAGATCGCAGGGGGATGCCCCCCCCCACACCTGAAGAGGGGCATCTAACAAAGAGGCTTTTCAGGTAGTGCTGATATCAGAAACGACGCTTGCTGACGTACCTGCAAGCCAGTTGGGAAAAACACGGAAAGCGGAGCAGCAGCATTTTATTGTCCGACCGCATTTTTTCATTTTTTACACACTACGCAGAAGACTAAGTAACCTTACACTTGTCGGACCTAAGTCTGTCGAGTTTTTACGATGTTTTATGCACATTGTCACATCACGCAAAAAGACTACCTGCCCATGTCAAACGGCAGAGAAAAAGCAGCCAAGTGGACCAACATCGCCGCAAAGTAAAATAACAACAGCAAAGCCTTCAACATAGATCCCACGACCCCAATCACCTCCAACATACCCCTACCAGAAGCCTCAAGAGAGCCCCAACATTGTGCGAAACGTGCAAACATGGAGAAAGATATGCCCTCACCAAGATCGCCGAAGATTTGCACAAACGCGCATCAAATCTGACCACCGACTGGAGCAAGCATTCATAAGCAACAAAAGCGACAAGAAAACGGTCAAAACCACCTTTCTTACACTTGTCGGACCTCATTGTTCATAGTTTTTATGGTGTTTTACAAGCACTACGCAAAAGAC